GAATACTGCATAGTAGGCGAGAAATAAATACACATATTAAGTGATTTAAAATTCTACAGTAGTGGCGTTCTACCCATAAAAAGCGAATGAGTACATTAGAATTAATTCTGAAAACGAATAAGCTGTTGAATCGAGCTGGTCGACAGTGGTGCCAAAGAAACTATCAGCAAAATGGTCTTGACGAGGGTTGTATGTTAAAGAAAACTTCCTTGGAACGATAGACTAAAATACAAAAACAACAATAGCTCAGCAACATGGTATTAAAATACACTGCGACAATGCGCTTTAAAGAGCTCTGGGAGTCGTAAAACTTTAATGTCTCTGTATATTTATAAATCACATGTCAATTGGTGTCCACTGTATCTGTTCACTGTCGGACTGGTTCATATACCGTACTTGGTAATTTTGTTCGGTGCAAGCAGAAGTAATCGGTCTAACGGACGCACCAGGAATCGACGTGTACAGTTACAAACCCAGCATTGACACACAGATCGCCGCAAACCAACCGTGCTGAATAGCGCCACCTGTGTTGTCACAATGAGTTGAGGGGTCAAAAGTGTTCGCAACGTTCGATGACAAAAGAAACAATTGGAAACATGGTTATATTGCCCACAAAACATACTTCTTCGTTCGTTATTGAGTGAATACTGTTTTACGAGAGTTTGTGTTTCTGCCCAGGAATATATCTGGTAGCGCCGGTCTTCTGCGTCGGTAACGAGGACTACACGTTATGTCCAATAACTCTACTTGTCGTTCTTCGTCATAGACTTGTGGTATGCTCGATAAATTTTCAATCGTGTGTGGCGCATTGTTCTCTTTCGCTTCTCCGTAAATTTGTTGCAGTCTATTTTTTTCATTAGGACTGTACGTTGATGATATGTCCGCCACAGCGTTTCTCCGCACACGCAAACGACCGGGGTTTTTCTCACCAGTCGCCGTAGAACGGGGCAAATCCATCGTAGCAGACGGCACGATATTGAAACTGTACAAAGTGAGCTTGCCTTGGAATTATCGACCTTGACCGTTATCGAAACTACTACCTTCTTTTGAGTCAGTCTTACAAAAATGCTGATACGCCGCAATACTTATTTCCAGTTAAGTCCAGTTCAGGTCCTAGCGAGTATCCTATGCTATAGTTGGGCGCCGAGTATAACTGCAGCTCGCTCGGCGACTGGTTCTTTGCTTAGATGTCGAACTCGCTGAAGTGTACTTTTAGAAACACTGCAAATATACTCTTGTAGTCGTCAGCATGTCATGAGATGATCCCACAGTTCTTTGTAAATTAGACAAAATGCCTGGGTCAGGACGAGAAACTTAATAGACAATGTATCACGATGCGGTTCGCGTGACCAACTGTCCTCAAAGTGACACTCACAGCCCTGAATACTGCTGACGTCATCACTAGATCAGTGACGTCACTATCTTTGCTACAACTGGTCTAACGGCTTGTCATTTTTATTTATTTGCATATTCGTTTTTCTCCCGATAGTATTGTATTATTATTTTGTCCTGCCGCACTTCAACTGCCTTCTTTGTGTAATTCAATATTCTTCTTTTATCTGATCACTTTCTTTCATCGTAACATGCGACCACAATATCAGGTATCTTGGCGACTTCAAAACAAAACAATGCATTGACGTCAATTCAACGCCGACCTACATTTTAAAATTCTGGTACTTTTTAGTGATTCATGATATTTGGCGGGTATTTCCAAATGCGTCACATCACTGACGCAAATACAATCCTCCTTGTCAAGTTCAATCACAACGTCCCTTTCTAATTGTATTTGAGCTGCGTTTAATGGTATATTGATTTAAAAAAAATAAGAAAGGATATTTTCCAATGACGTCATTGTCGCATTGCATTTTGGTATATGCGTGTGTGAATAACGAAAGTGTAGTGCCGATTTACACTACATACAAGAGATCAGGAAAAGACAATCTAATAAGAAGTACGCAAGTTAGGGAATTGTGATTAGATTAGATTAGATTAAGTTAATAAATTCATAACTGGACCATTGTTATTAGAGAAGACAGTCTAAAAAGAATTGTACAAGCTGCCTCAAAATAATTAAAAAATGTATATCAATTTCTCTTCCCACATTCAACTTTACATATTTGCCTTGATATTATTTATTTTTCATATTTTAAGTGCCATTATACATTTTGTGTGTACTTTACTAAATATTCATACAATATACCGACAAATACAATATAAATAAAAATTCAATATTACAAGATCTCGTCGTCAGGGGTAAACAAATTACGAAAATGGTTGAATTGCGCTGGTAGAATATTAATATTCCTTCGGTGGGATTTGAACCCATGGCATGAATGTCTCGATGACGATGCTCCAATGGTGTTGGTCGTCGAGCGAGAATTTATTGATTTTGCAATAAACTGCATTTCATGGCAATATAAGAATACTGACTTGTTGAGGGTCACAGTCTATTTTTTTGGAAAATGATGGTTGCATTTTAGTTACTATAGCAGAGATATTATGCCATATTGTAGGGTGGTGGAATTACCAAGATTACCTTAACACTCGCATATCAACGGAGTATCTACGTAACACATCCAGTCATGCATTGTTGTGTGTATTTTATAGGTACTCCAGCCATTGTGTACACTTTTTTGTCACGTCAATGTGCCTTGGTACACGTATTCGTTATAACTTTTGACCCTGACACTTCTCAGTGTCACTCAGTGTAACAAATTTAAGAGAACCGGCAAAGCGAGGCACCGGTGGGGGGGGGGGTTTCAGTTCTAACAATGTTTGCAACATAGTATGTATTAAATTATGTTCAGCTCTGTACGTGGTCACAGAGTGGGTTTCACATAACTTATATATGTATATATCAATATATATCCCCTTCCACAGTGAGACGCTCTTTTTTGATATTTATTGGTCATTTTTCTGAAGATGTTATTATACTGTGTAAATTTGAAAACTGTATTTTACCCAAACATTCTTTTATTTCATTTGAAAAAAAATTATAAATGTAACTAAACATACACAATAAACAAACAAGTCTATTATCGTCCGAATCGCATAGTTTATTGTTACCGACTTATTGCCGACTCCATTTGGAGGCGTGACCCGAAATAAACGTTTCTTGGTTTCAGTCTATAATTAAACTAACAATTATTATTACTTTTAAATATAATGGCGGGCGAACTAATAAAACTGTCAACGTTACAAAAAAGAAACTCAATAAAAACATTCGACAAATAAATTCTGATGTAAATATTCAGTGCATTTTACACCAAATATCGTAAGTTCTCTTTAAAATGTTATAACAAGTATGTGCCTAGCCTACAACGCATGTATACCATAACGTTCAATCACAGAAATTATACTGTGTTAGATATACTGTTAGATTACTTGTTTCTTGGTCCGAATTATTGAATTTCCATTATATCAACATTAACACTGCTTTCTTGTACAAAAAAAACGTATAAAGTTTGAATTTCATCGTGTTTTATTATAGTGGTATTATTCATATTATTCCATGTATAAATCACAGTCGACATTCTGTCACTACCAGTTACAGTATTATCTAGTACGTACCGTTATAGTTGGAGTGTATCGTGATTTTCAAACACGTGCGTCATACTAAGGTGTAAGTAAGTCAGTCGGTTCTTTGGATGACGTAATTGTCTGTGCATGTAGTCAGAGTGACGAACACCTCACTATAAGGAACTAGAATAAGTTTCGTTTCATATTGAAAAACCCAAATAATGTATTCAATGTAACGAGTTTGCCTGGCAGTAGGAGGTGTGATCTTCAAACACGTGCGTCATTGTAGGATGAAAGTAAGTTATTCGGTTCTTGGGGTGACGTAATTGTCTGTACATGTAGTTAGTCAGTGACGCATACCTCACTATAAGGAACTAGACTAGTTTAACATCGGAAATCCCAAATAATGTATTTAATGCGATGTGTTTGACTGGCAGTAGGAAGTGTACCTCCAGTACCCTAAACAGTCAAAATGACAATTTAAGTGGATGCCCCTTTCACAGTGATTTCAATCAACTTAAATTATCCACTTTACAGACTAGATTTTTGAAAGACTAGATTGTTGAAACTTTTTGTTGAGTCCCCATGACAATAGCATTTTTTTGCTTGATAATTTTCAAGGATTATTTTCAACTGCACTATCAAGTGTTGAATGTAGACCTGCTTCGAGGCTGGATACTGAAAACAACCCTTTCCAGACTTCGACTATGTGGCATTACAAAAAAACTACCAGCAAATAAGTAATAGATTGTGAGATTCCCCACTGGTCAATTACTAATGATAATCCAGCATTGACACAGCTGTGAAAATTGAATTATGTCAGCGATACCGAATTAAGTATATATCCACGCGCATACCAATATATCGAAATAGCATCGCAAGCTCAAAAGGCTTAAAGTTGCACTTCAAGTTTTCTGAGTTCTCTTATCTTTAGTCCGGATTAAGGGAACTCGCAGTTGGAGGACTGTGTACCAATACAATATATGTATACCCTTAGTACTCCAGACCCTTAACCCAACCGAAATAGCCACGGTGCGATATGTTTAAAAAAATATCTGTAACCCCAGGCTAGGAGCGCTAATAAAAACGGTGATTTTAGTATACTGAATAATTGTCTTTTTAAAGATTATTTTCAGTTTGCTGAATACTATTGACCTCGTTCGAGTTTGAAACTGAAAAATGTGTAGCCATTGTCTTTAATAGTAAAAGCATGGTCCCCATTTGACGATAAACTTTACAATATAAGTACCCCGGCATGAAAATATATTGAGTTTACTATTTATTTGTTCACATCATCAGTGAAAAGTGCCAGTGTCCGTGAGTTTTATTTGAGATTGGTACAGCAACTGAAAGGGTTGCCCAATGACCCCCCCCCCCCGTCATACACCATCACCATCTTGAAGGGACCTTATGTACATTTCGTTAGTAAGTTAGGGAGCCACAACAAAACGCGGCACATTGAAAACCAAAATGGCGTCCTCCTATCGACCTGCTCAGGTATTCGCGTCTTTTTCTACAGTTCCACCAAAACAGAAGCAGAACAAGATGACAGACAGAAGTGAACAAGTCCATAAACTACCTGTAGAACGGGAGATCCAAGTTTCAGCTACTGGGGAGGCGTTTTTAGCACCCGACAGAGCTCGTGTCACTATAACGGTGACAAGCACCAAAGAGAACGTTTTAGACGCAAAGAATTCGGTGACTCGAAGACTAGACTACATTCTACAATCGTTGCAGACACACGGTGTAAAAGTGAGTAACTAACACTAATCCCAAGAAAGCCGTTTATAGTGATAATGTTGATGAGTTTATGTACCATTTTATGGATATCATCGTCACTATCAGTGTACGTTGGACATGATAATATTGTCCGACAACAGGCGCGTATTACCATGGTAACTGGCAACATGTCGACACTCGTGGTACATATACAAACGATGTCATTATGCACACCTTCTCTCTTTATTATACATTTTCGATACTGGTAACTTTTTTGGCGGAATCTGTTAAACATGTTCAATTAAGTATTTTTCAATAAATTGTTGTGTCATAATAATATAAATTCAGAGATTGGCTTTGAATTTGAGTGGCATGCTCCACCTTTGCCCATAGGGAGACATATGTAAGTGTTCTAAAAAAGTTGGAACTGCTACTGAATTTAGTTTTACTCATTATTTAACAAAAAGGGTCTTCCTAAACAACATAATTTATATTCGCACATATTTCCAGTCACAGTGTGAAGACCTAGTTAAACAATTTGCCACTTAGTTTGCATAGTTAAAGTGCCTGTGCAATGCCCACCCACACGCTTCCCATTTTAGATCTGTGCCCCACTGAAATGGGCAATTATTGATTTTTTTGCTGAAAATGATTACTCGTATCCAAGTAAATTTGAGATATTTCCCGTGCTGTAGCCATGCCCACCTATCCTGAAACGGTCGACTGTTTCCGGATTTCCGACTCTCGCCGAAAGTGCGCCACCAAATGCAAAAATATGAGAGGAAGCCATACCCCTGGGCCGTACTTTTATATCACTGTGTCATTCAACGTACAACTGTACTTTTAAACGATATACATTTTTTAATCAGCGTTTCTTTTGTCTATTTTATTTTATTTTTGAGAGAGCGAATTTTTTGAAGTTGTTTTCACAACAAACTTTTATGATGGTTAAACGTTGTGTTGTGGGCGGTTGCAGTAATGCGTATAGTCATAGTGTAAGTATTTCCACGTTTCCAATCGATCCGAAGGTGCGAAATCGGTGGACGAAAGCTGTGAAAATAACGAGAAAAGGTTGGGGTGGACTTCCTCCTAACAGCGTCAGCGTCTTATGCAGTGTCCACTTCACCTCAGATTCTTTTTTTTTTCTAAAAACTGTCCTTGTCCATGACAAAACAACTAGGTTTTAACGAGAAACGCTGACAATACAAAACATTTTCGAAAAAATAGATTCCGGACCAGCCCATGATCACTAAGACGGATTTCAGATGAAGAGAGACGTCGAGTATGTGTTTCAAATGATTTGATTTTTTGCGATCCTGATTATCGCTTTATAGAGACCACCCGTGTTATGTAAAA